GCTAATTTTAAGAAAATATGTTTCCGATGAGTTTCGAGCCAAATTTTGAACGTATAGAGTCCATTTCCTCAAATTCGGTCGAAAACGCGACAAAACGCGAAATTCCACAAACTTAATCGCGAAAAAATTGAAATTCAAACGCGAAATTTGCAGGTCTCTGATTGTTACATATGGTACTATATATGCATCCATTTCTTTACAACCCAACAACTTCATTATTTTTTAAATTCAGGCAATTGCTGAAGAAGGCGAAGAGGGAGAGGAGGAGGAGGATGAAGTTGATGGTAGTCACAGGAAGTCCAAAAAAAAGTCACGCAAAAAGAAGCACAGGGAAGAAGATAGCTCCTCCCATTCGTCACGCAAAAAAGCTAAAATGGAAGTGCCTAACAACGTGAAGCATGCTATGCGTTGTGCTATTGATATTGTCATGAAATATACAGAGTAAGCAAGTTATAAAACCTAGTGTACTAGCGTCAATTAACATAAAATCTAATCTATAGTTTGTTTTCTTTTTCTAGAAATGGTACTGCAATTGCTGAACCATTTGTAAAGTTGCCTGCTAAAAAAGCTCTCCCTGAATATTATGAGGTGATAAAAAAACCCATGGACATCAGGAAACTAAACCAGCGCATTACAGATAACAAGGTAAATGCTTATGATTATATCCATTTTCACTTTGAAATCTATTATTTAATTTAAGGAGCGTTTAGAAATTAAGTAAAACTTGTCATTTTGTGAATTCAGTATGCCACTCTCGATGACTTAGAGAAAGATTTTAATCTTATGTGCTCCAATGCTCAAACTTACAATGAGGAAGACTCAGATCTCTATAACTATTCTGTGACACTCTATGGTGTATTCCGCCAAGCACGAGCCCAAGTTGAGTCTGAGCTGCTCTCTAAAGAAGATGGAGCTGATGATGAGGCCTCAGGTACCAGTTTAGTTCCCATCAAATCTAGAGAAAATACCTTTATTCTTAGTAAATCATTAATTCTATTTCTTTGTCTAATTTTAGTGAGTGGAGTTACAGTATCAGAACATCCTGGTGGTGGTAGTGTAAGGGTTAAAATAAAATTACCAAAACCACCTGCGAGTAGTAGACGGCGGCACTTTGATGATGAGGCAGATATGGGAGAAAGTGACAATGCCCGAGGATTTGAGGTTTGTAGTGGAAGTTGAGAATAGTGTTCATAATTTAAAGACTTATTGCCGTATATAATATGAAATTTATTCTGCTTCAGGATTCCATGGATATAGACTAAGCTAAGATGATGTATGCAGCTCTTTTTAATGTCTTTTAGATGTACAATAACTAACACAATTGTGGAATTAGTGATTTTTTTCTTCTTTTTAATTTTTTTTAGTTTTAGTTACAATGTCATGTATTTAATTGTAGTGTTTGCCTATGTTTTATGTCAACCGAGGGTTTGAGATTTAAATACAAGCAAGTATATTTGCAATCTATTGCTTTAAGTAGCAGCAAAAAGGAATCACCAAAATAGAATTCAATTTTCTTGCAAAAAGTAAACAAATCATGTGCTTTAAATTACCAATAAACATCAAAAGTAGTACATCCATCTGTGGAAGGTTACTCAGCAGGCATCCATCATGGTGAATGGCAAACTGAAGGAATACCAGATTCGTGGTTTGGAGTGGTTGGTATCCTTGTACAGTACAATAACAATCTGAATGGAATTCTTGCTGATGAAATGGGTTTGGGCAAGACTATCCAAACCATTGCTTGCATAACTTATTTGATGGAAATTA